TCGATATGCAACGCTGGCGCGAAAAACTCAAGAAATTAACTTTCAAATTATTTCATTAATTCTGGGCATAGTTTCTGGATGTTTCCAGCAACAGTTGGAGTTTGTACAATGAATGATGACATCGAAATATTTCTAGCAGCTCATGCAGATCACTGGATATAAAATACATCGTGCACATGACTCCATGATATTTAAAATAAAGGTATTTGTTTTATCGCAAGTTTTACAAATGTATTACAGTGCAAACTTTTGAAAACTTTAGCTCTGTTATTAATTTTACAGATATAAAAAATGCAATTAAAAATCAGAATTTTTAAAAAAAGTAGGCAGATTATGTTAAATTCAGTTTTTATTCTCCGAATATTGTTGAAATATTTCAGCTGCTATGGATCTTTTAAATGCAATAGTTCTTCGGATAATTTGATATCCACCAATATTCTTAACTTATTTACATCTTCAGTATTCTCATTTTCTTCAACAAAATATTTCCTTTCAAAAGTTAACCTTACCCCCAGCATTCTGACCTTCCATTGAAATTTTGAACACGAACGCGATTCAGTAAAATTCCTGTAGCTAACGGAATTACGTTTTCAATTTTTCTTAGTGCAAAGCAAAGCTAGAATAGAAATTTTAAAATTCATTCACTAATTTCTGTAATTCTAGAAAACTTGATTCTGGAAATTCGTTCGTTTCTCATAATTGTTTCATTTTTTACTTGAATGAGCAGTAGCAAACCTGGAGTTAATAATAATAATAAAAACTAAGATGGTTTGTGAATTTCGGGACTTCGAGATAGAGTACTGAACTAAAATCAGATTTTCCTGCGTAGTCAGGCACGTCTTGTCACTATACTCGACTAGAAGGTATACAATAATTTTATGTTAAGCTTTTAACATATTTGAACGGTTAATTTAATACACCAGGGTACACAGCCCCCCAAAAATAGAAGCGAAAAAATATAGCAAATAATTCTCCGAAATCTTTTATAAATTTTTTAATCTTTTATCTTTTTTTTTATAGTACTTTATATAAAGTACGCTTTTATTCAGAAGTGAAGTCTTCTGGCATTAGAAAATTAGGGAATTTGTTGTATTTCAGTCATAATGCTCATGAAAGGGCCTGTTTAAAAGACTTACTAATAATAATTTCTGAAAGGTTATCACTTTGCGTTTAAAAGACTTACTAATAATAATTTCTGAAAGGTTATCACTTTGCGTTTAAAAGACTTACTAATAATAATTTCTGAAAGGTTATCACTTTGCGTTTAAAAGACTTACTAATAATAATTTCTGAAAGGTTATCACTTTGCGTTTAAAAGACTTACTAATAATAATTTCTGAAAGGTTATCACTTTGCGTTTAAAAGACTTACTAATAATAATTTCTGAAAGGTTATCACTTTGCGTTTAAAAGACTTACTAATAATAATTTCTGAAAGGTTATCACTTTGCGTTTCTCAGCGAAATATCGAAGTGACATTGTTTTCGACTTTTGTAAAATGATAGCATAGAAGAAGAAAGAAATTTGAAAATTGGTCATTCAGATTCCAATTAAAGTTAATAAAGAGAAAACAAAATTTAGTGGACTGAAGGATTTTGCTATTATTACTAGGTTATTTTTAATGCCAAAGGGATAGGGCCATTCAGAAGAAAAGTGATAAATTCTATATTCAAAATACTACATAACAAATAACTTTTGAAACTTAATGTACTAACTTTATAAATATCAGTATTTTATTTTCGAGTAACAATGAAGTTATTGCGCGGAAACTGCAGCTCAAAAGACAGATATTTTGTATATAATTAGGAGGCCATTGAAAAGTGTCAAAACTCTGCAGTGACTTGAAACTAAGACGACCCTGTACTTGTTTCACAAGGGTAATTAAAAGCCCTTCATTCACATTCATAGTATCAATTTAAAAGCAGACTGCATATTTAGCACTTTTGTTTGCAGCTGTTCTCCAACTCTTATTGTTCTATTATGTGTATAAGGTGGATAAATTCGTTTGTTGCGAGAAGGAAGAAATTCTACGGAAACAAAAATAACAAATAATGAAAATGGTCACATTTCTCGTCGCGTTTTTGACAGTTATTTCATTGTTGTGAATTAAGGCTGCGAATAATAGTAAAGAACTCATTTTTCTAGTGGAGCATCATTTCAGAATAAATTAATATGTTTAGTGCCGTAAACAATTTTGCAGGAAATTTAGGAACGAAATTCTGAGAAAATAAAATTGAAATGCATGCATACATAATAAAATTGAAATGCCATGAATACAGATCAGAAAAAATTCCATAAGAGTGCTAGAAACAAGCGGAAAAGTGTTCCGCAAATATACTGAACTAGAGAGATATTTTCGTCATTTTTCAAGAAATATACGCAAGAAACGTTCAAGAACGTTTTGAAGCAAAATTAAATGAGCATGTTTTCCTCTATCGGAAGGTATAAGTAAATGACTTTTAAGGGGTAAATGGATTGCTTTTAAAGGATAAGTGATAAATTATCTTCATATTTTTAGGTGTTAGCGTGCCCACAGTACAGGGATATGGTTTATAAAATTTCATTTTAATGAAAGAAGTTATATTAAAAATAGTAATATACGTAAAAAATATTTTTTTAAAATTACTCTAATAAGCAATATAGTATTAAAATTTCTATGATAAATGAAATACTTTATGCTTAGTGGAATTCCATAGGCCCCGTTTTTTTTCTCAGAATGAAAATCTGATCTATTTCCATTTATATTTACTTTAATGTATATGCATTTCGAATATTTTAATCTTTTCTATATACCTTATTAATATACAGATCTTAAAAAACATTATTTAAAGAAAAAAAAAAGGTTTATACCGATCAATAAAATTAATAGATTATGATTAAGCATAAATTTAAAATAAGTGCAAAAATAAAAGAAAATATAAGATTAATTTTATAATATTTTATATTAAAATTAATTTTATAATATTTTATATTGAAATTAATTGTTGCATCTGCCCAACTTAAACAATTATTTTAGAAATTTCAGAAAAAATCTTAATATATATGAAAAGTTTTATGATTTTATATCAAAATCATATAGGAATAAACAGTCATTTGAAAATATTGAAATATTTGCTGTTTTTTTTTTTTTTAATTACAGGTGTTAGCGTTCGGAAATGCCTCCAAAATGTACACGAGTTCAGAATTTCTTTTAATAATTTTTTATGATCTGAGAAATGTAACTGAGAGATGTAAGATAGTGCCTGATATTTTTCTTATCACCTTTTTCTCTCGACGGATGCATATTTTGGACAGAATAAGTATTTTTCAAAAAAAGTTTCCTATGCTTCGTGTGTGGTCTTACGACGTTGGTGACTCGTTGCCTGGATGCTAATGTGAAAGTATCCCCCTAGCTCGGGGACGTGCGCCCTCTGACCAATCAGAAGAGTTTCTACCATCTCATCTATCTTCTGACGGACGTTTTAATGGGTGGAGCATCCCATGCAAATACAATCGGAGGAACCAGGAAAAGACTTTTATCGCTTCCTATTGGCGACAGTGATGAACGTAATACAACTTTATTTGGCTGTTTTTAGAGTATGAAACAGTGGAATCTTTAATTTAAATACAGCAACTTTTTATAACAAGTGAGTTTCTCGGTTTTTATTTGAAAAGGGTGTAAAAACTATATTATTTCCTTGCATTATATGCCGCTTATAAGTTTTTTTTAATACTAGTGGCATGCCAAATTAGGAAGTGTATATTCTCTGAGACGCATAAAAAATTTACTATTTGAAATTAATTAGACTTTTTTTTTTTTTTTTTTTTTCTACGATTAAAATGCACTTAAATTTCATTTTCTTTTCTAACCAATTTTTCACAGTTTTGATTTTTGTGTAATGCGAGTGATATGCATGATTAGGATTTAAGGATGCATTTAATGGATAAACTGTTACGAATGCATAATTCTCCTAAGAATGGCTGTGTTTACTAAACGATACATATTAGGCCGGTTAGCAATTAATAAATACATGCAACGAAATTTTAATAAATACAACTGAAAAAACTTTTTTTTTTTTTTTTTCTTTTTTAACGTATTTCTACTTTTTCGATCTTCATTTAGATTATACTGGATTACCAAATCGCTGTCCCTTTCTTTAACAACCTCGTAGCCTAATAAGTCTGCTCTACGAATTTCATATTTCCGTTACGTAATTCGTATAATTTATCACTCAAATTGTAAAGTGATTATAAAGGAAAGATAAAGCAATTAAAAACAAATACACATACATATTTTTTATTCTGTTAAAGTTTATACGATTAGTATAACTACTAAAAGTATTTCTAAGATAGTGTAATATTTATGTTCACTACTGAACTGTTTTCCTACACATTATTTGCCTAAGCTTTCGACTGCATTACAAATTAATGAAAATTAATATTTTACTAAGCATTCATAATAAAAACAATGCTTACTTTTATGTTTCTTTGCTCAGTTGCAAATTGTTTTAAGGATAGAAAAAGTACTCAAATGAATGAATAAATATATAGCAAAAGAAATAAATATATAGATGATTTTTTTAAAGTATAGTATTTTCATTTAAAATTCAAATATGAGCTCTCTTTTCTGTTATACGGGGAACAAAATTTGCTTCTCTATTGAAAGCATGTTTATTGTCTTCTTTCGCAAGCTGAACGAACGAATAACACAATTTATTGATTTTCTGATTTTAATTAATAGTTTTTCTTCCAGTATTTCTGTTCAATAAATAAAATTTATGAAGAAATTTCAACCAGAACTAAGTAATTTTCAAATCAATAAAGTACGGCATAATGCTTAGAAATCATAACTAACAAATCATTTGGTTCAATTAAAAAAATGAAAATCCTTTTGTTTACAACTTGCGATAATCTCGCCAAGTGTGGCGCTTTTCTGAATGAATTTTGGCGCGAAATAGAACAATGGTAACCCTTAATTCTAGAGACTTTTCATCGCGGCAACCTCACGTCTGAACAAATCATGTGTTGTAGTGAGTTGGACGTGATGAGTTTATTTAGCAAGTTTGGAACTGAAGAATAGTTACGGAATGGATACAGGGCTGAGGACATAGTGTACGCATGGGAATTTGATTGTTCGTCTGGCCAGTGACTTATTGGAAATCCTTCGTTCGCCCAGCTCAAACCTCGCTTGATAACAGCGGGCCCGCTGGACGCACGCAACATGGCTTCAGCGGCAAAATGAACTCAATGCAAAGACCAATAACTTCGTCTCAGGGTACTAGAGTTCCGCACCGACAGGCATCTCTACGGCCCGACAGCGATCTGCTGACCCGGACTAGCTGGGAGGATGCATCCGTTGGATTAGCGCAGATCAACAAGGTGAGTGTCACTATGTAAGATGCAGTTCATTCACTGTATTGGATGTATCGCTAAGCCTAATCCATGAAAAATGTAAACAGCCTAAGCGTAGTAACGGTCTTCTAGTTGTTTGCCGGTCGCTATCACTATTTTGATCCAATTTCATGCATTTGTATCCTGGCTTCAGAATATCTAGTTTGATACATCCTAGTGCATTTACTTGTGATATTTCTTCATTTCGATTTTACGATTTTTATTAACTATATAGGATGCGTTTTCGTTAGTATTAGTGGTATTCTGAATTATTATTTCAGAATAAGTATTGGTATAGTTCTAGCATTTATTGTTTTTGTAGCAGCAGTAGCATAACAAACATTAATATTTTTTATCTGTCATTAAAATATTTTAATTGTAAGCATTTTTTTACTATTTATTTTTGCTACTTTGCCAACTTTTTCAGATTTACATCTTTATTACACATTCGGCTTAAATAAAAATATCATTTCTTATTTCAAGTATGTTTAATATAACTAATCGATTTTAATGATATTTGAAAATATATTCAGAAAATAAATTAATTTAAACTGAAACATTTTTAAATTTATGAGATAGTAATAACTATGCCTTACAACTGTTTGTAGCCAATTTTAATTCAGGTAATATAAATTGTGCAATTTAATTTTTAGGGTAATGCAACTGGTAACAAAGGAGCATTATGGGCCAGGAGTTGGTTACAGAAACACTTCTTTCACTTAGGATGCTTCATCCACAGAAATCGAGGAAAAATAATATTCGTTGGACTTCTAGTTTTATCATGTTTTTGTGTCGGACTAAAATCAGCAACTATAGAAACAGATATAGAAAAATTGTGGGTCAAAGGTAAGATTTTTCGCTTATGTATGCATTAAAAGTGCATGTGCATTAAATGTTTTTGAAATATTTAGGTAAAATATTAGTGCTTGATCAATTAGATTATGTCTTAGAATCCCTATTTTTTGGAATACAAGTCAAATTTTTATTCCATATGTGTTGTAAAAAATACAGGAATTATTTGAAATCTGCCTTATGCTTCTGTAGTTCTAGAAGGGTATAGAGTTCTGTGTTAGTTGTCTAAATCATATATAAGATATGAGTAGTATCTTATAAACATTGACCAGTTATTTGTTTTAGGCATCACCTTGTGTACTGGCTTAAATTCCTTTACTAATTTTTGAAATAATTTTAAAGTTGGAGCTGAAACTGCATATCCGAAATTTAATTTTACACTAACCTACCCAAATACAATTCATGTAAATGAAAGATCGTAATCAAATTAATTTAAACTTACTTCAACTTAAGTATGAATAAAATTATTTTCCAATTTTAATTAAAATTTCTTTTAAATAATAAATAAGGCACCATTAATTTTTTTATTAACCTCCATGAAGAATTTTATGTATTCATCTCATAAAGAAAGGTGAAAGTTCTATTTTTCCTGTGATATATATATATATTCTGTTTAGTGTTCAATCCAAAGTAAAGTTTGTTCATTTTATTAATTTTATGTTTATGTGGTTTACAAGGGCAGTTTATTAATTTAGAAATTATGACAGCTATTTTTGCCCTTGTTTTTGTAACATTCCCTTAAATTGTTCTAAAACAAAATAATATTTGGTATTCTTCTGTTATCAGGATTGAATTCAGAAGTGTTATGCACATGTGTATGTAAAAATGTTCATATATGTGTGTGTACACACTCATACATGAACACATACATGCTTACATATGTACATTTCTGGACCCGGTACTGATAAGAGAACAGTACCTAATGTTTTTATTTTCAGTTTTAAAAATGAAATCTGCTGGTAGTTAAGTTTTATAGCAGTGTGCCCACCATTCGAATAAAAAAATTATAGTGGTGAATCTTTAATTAAATCTATAATATACAATTTGCATGGGTACTAGAGGAGTTTGTTGTACTCAATTATACTGACTGATAGGTTTGGGCTGGACTAAAGGTTGGGTTGTATTGTTCGCTGTTTAGAACTTAATGAAGTACCAGAGTGATAAAAAATAACATTTTTGTAAACATTTTGCAGGGTGATGATACTATATCAAAGGGTTCATTTTGCTTAGGATAAGAAAATATATGTATCTGGTGCTGTGCTAGGTTCCAGTATTAATGCACACAAGTTATGCTACTTCTAGTAGTCTTCTTTCTTCTAACTTCTTTTGTAAAGATATATTTATAAAATTAGCTTCATTATGTTAGACATTCTCAGTGCTAATTTAAAAAGAATTAGCTATAGTTTTGATTGTAGTAATGTATTTCTTGTTCTTAATGCTTGTTATTAAATTTCTCCTATATTGATTGTGCATTTTGTGGAAATTATGTACATTGATTTGGCTAATATAATTTAATGCTTCCATGAGAATTTATTTTTTGAGAAATTATTTGAACTTATTTCTCATTCTCATTTTTTATATCTTTTATTATATAAGAATGCATTTTTTCTGTAACTGAACTCTAATAATCATGTACTTTCTAATACTATTAAACCTTTTTATATAAGGATCCCATACTAAAGACCCAGGTTATGCATTTGTTGCATGCACAGTCAGATCTGAAATATCATTATCAAATATAGTGTCACTCCAGTTTACCAAGTCATCATTATTATATGTTTCAGTGTTTATCAGGAAGTTGTTTAAATATTAAAGTCATGATTAATAACTTCAGACGGGGCAGCGGGTTTTTTTTTTTTTTTTTTTTTTCCCTGCTTGGTGTACAGTCTCTACAACTCCTAAATTCTGTGACTTGGTGCAGATTCACTGATTATGTAGGTTTTGGTACAAATGCTGACTTCCAGATGTTTGATGTAATATAAATGTCTGACCCATTTTATTTGCTATCTTTCCCAGTTTTTTGCCACATCTTCTGGTTTCTGACAGATTACTGGACATCTTGTTTTTTTTTTTTTTTTTTTTTTTTTAATATTAAGCTGTTCTTAAGGAAAGCGTTTTTTTAGCAATATATGAAATTATTTATTTATGAAACTTGAATTGTGAAAATTTAATTCCCCCCTTCCGAGTGATTTTCAAAATAATTTTCTTATTAAATTTTATTTAACTTGAATTGTCTTACGACTTCAATTGTCTTATTTATACATTTGAAGAGTTTACCCTATGTTTAATATAATGTGTGCATTTTTGTTTTACATCAGTATAGAGCACATTACTAAGTTTTATTCACATAATAGTATGTATATTAATTATTAATTTTTTTTAAAAAAGCCTTTTGATAAATTAAAATTTTTTATCTCAAAAAATCTGAAAATAATAAATAATATTTGAGTGTAAAAGTCTAAGAAAATTACAAAATAAAAGTAGCCAAAGAAAATAAAATTTTTATTATCTAAGTAAATAAATTTTACATTAAAATTGTAACCATTATACATAACTGAATAACCTAAATCATACATTATAAAGCAAATCAAAGTCAATTTGGAATTCTTTTGATATGGTGCCACTTGGGAACCTCCTAGTTTTTCATATTTCAAAGTTGGCAGCTATACATTTTGTTCATAAATAAAATTTTCAGACAGAATGTTGCTATTCAGATAAATTGATTCGTATAAATTCATATAACACTAATTATGTTAAATTTACTTAGATATCTAAAAAATTACAAAAAGGATATTAATGTATATATTTTAAAAGGTTTAGCCTTCTCCGTGTTGCTGCTGAACTTTATAATTGCATTATTGTATGACTTGTATAAATGTCATTCTACTTATAGTCTCTCTAGTTAGGACTATAGGAATGACCTTGTAATAAGATAATGGAAGTTCACCTTGCCTTCAGTCCTTCACAAATAGGTTGGTTTCTGCATTTTTTCAGTTTGTAAATACTAGCAAGTTTCTTTAGAGAGTCCTCCATGAAGGCACCCCTCTTCTTAGGCATATAGCCCTTGTATGTTTTGTCATATTCAAATAATCTAACAAAACCTTGATTGTTTAGTGATCAATAACAATAAAATGTGTATAAGAATTTTCAGTAAGATAATTTATTTATAATTGTTTATGACATAGCATAAATGAGATATAAGAGATACACAATTTTCATTGAGGGACACAATTTTCATTGGGTGATGATTTTATTGACCTGGTCTGCTTTAATACATATTTAAAGAAATGTAAACAGATATATAGTGAATCATTTATTATCTTTCAATTGCCCTAATTCTGTACTCCTGTATTTTTAGCGATAAAAGGCTGTTTAAAAATTAAAGTTACCAACTTTTATTTAAATGTAGGTAATTGTTATAAAAATAATTTTTACATGTTATAGGATTATGTTAGATTTTTATCCTAAAAAAAAAAAAAAAAAAAAAAGAGTTGCCGTTTTTATCCCAAAAATATGTTGCCAAAAGATAAAATACATATTTTAATTATTTTTAACAAATAATTTGAGTTAAAAAATAAGATTAATTTTATATTTTGTTATGATTTTATAATGAAATAAATTGCGTTTTAAGAATGCCTAAAATAAATTTTAAAAAATGTATACATTGACAAAAGTGTTAAAAAGTAATACTATCTTGAAGCTAGGTTTTAAAGGAAAAATGGGTTTTGTACTGACCCCTTTTTGTGTACGTGATGTTCTTCACAGAATCTCCGAGTATGTTTAATTAAGTGTCTGTTAGTCACTTACGATCTTACTATTTCCAAACACTTCTCAAGTTTTAAAGCCGGAAATACTGAGCCCTTTCGCATAAAAAGTTATGAAGTAAGAGATCTGGTTATATGAAGGAGTGCTTCACTAGGGCAAAAATGGGTCCTTGGGTTCGCCAACTAGAAGGTTAAAAAACTCAAGCTTGCCTTCGAATCTGGACAATTTGGCTAAGTTCCAACGTACAGTCACTCGTCTAAAATAAACAGAACAAAAATATTAAAAATATTTCCTCCTTTTGTCGATGAATACTATCTGGTTTGGTTTCGAATTGAGCGGTGTTAAGGTGCGGGTCTTTCTTGGTATATTTTTTCTGTCTTTTTTTTTTTAACCCCAGTAAGAAAATCACGTCTTTTTTTTAACCCCAGTAAGAAAATCGTGATTAAATCGTAGGGGGTGTTTTATTTTTCATCTTCATTCACGACTTAATTCACTGTGTAGTACATGGAGCATATTTGCTATTCGACCAAGTTCCTCTCAAAACTATTTGCATAGAAGCTGTCACAAGAATTTAAAAATTGTGCCTACCCTGTCCTATAAGTCTAAATTTAAGAAAATCCCAGTATAATGGTAATACGTGATAGAAATGACGCGTTCCTCTATTATGAATGCATTTGTGTGTATACTCATTTATCCGGGAAAAGAAACGGTAACGGGGAAATTTACTGTCACACGCGTGTGATTCAAAATTTCATTGAATGCGAATCGTTTTCGAGGTTGCTAGTCGTGCTGATTTTTCTGTCTTACGTACAACTATCGATGTGTCTTTCCGGCAGACCGTAATGGGGGGGGGGGTATTTTTACACCAGTATTACGGATAAATAATCAGTTACCGATGAGTTAAAGTAAACAGATCATCTGAAATTAGCAGTTAACTCACTAACTTAATTACCAGTTATTGTCTCTTATTAATAAGACTAATTATTTATTGATACTAAATTCAGGTGCTTTGGAATGGGGAATTAATGCAACTGTTTTAAATTCAAGACGTGTGGCATGAATTATCTATAGAGCAGCATTTAAGTGTACTATAGCAGTAAAGTAAATGGATATGAATAAAAAAATGTAGCTTTTTCTTGTTTATATCTGTAATTTTATGTACATATGATAGCAATATTAGCTTGTCAGTATATGTAAGTTTAAATTACAAGCAAGAATGTGCGTAATTT